ACGGGTGTCCGGCGGCGCAGCCGGGGAGAGGCAGGCCGTGGAGCTGGAGGGGCCAGGGAGGGCCCCTGCCCCTCCTCGGCCGTCCCCTCTGGCTGCTGGCCGAAGTCCCGCAGGGAGGCAGGTGAGAGCGTGCCGTAGGCGCTGTCGATGGAGGACGAGCGGCAGCCGCTGCCTGGGGAGGCCGTGCCATGGGGCAGAGGAACAGGCAGGGCGCCTGCAGGCAGCTCCTGGGTTGGGGTCTCCACAGAGGTGGGGGTCTCAGCAGAGGTGCCAGTGCTGATGGAGGTGCTGGTGCTGACAGAGGAGCCATCTGAGGTTGAGCTGAAGGGTCCTGTGTCCCAGTCTGGGGAGGAGAGCTCGTCGCCACCGTCTGCTGTCACCATGGCAAGCGTCTCGGTGGAACCGTCGGATGGGCTGTGGAGGCAAGAAGGTGAGGAGGGGCCTGTGCCAGGCTGGGGCTGTGCAGGTCCCTCCCTTCTGCTCCCTACCACTGCTGTGAGTCCGGGCTGGTGCTGCTGTGGTGCAGGATGGTAGGTGAACTGGCAGCTGAGGTGCCACTCTCACCGTCATCCTCCTCATCCTCCTCATCCTCCTCTTCCTGCTCCTCCATGCGCCGGCGCTGTCGCAGCCGCTGCAGCAGGTTCTGGGAAGGGAGAGTCATCAGAGAGGAACGGAGTGTGCACAGGGCATGCAAGGGTCCCCCACCCACCCACGTGCCCTCACCTGGGCATTGCGCACTGCCTCGACCCAGCTGCGGCACAACTGCCCGTTGGTCTGGAAGGTGTAGGCGGCAACAGCACTCCCCAGCTCGTTCAGGTAGATGAGGAGGAAGGAGCCTGTGGGTAAGGGCTGTCAGAAGTGTTGAGGGGCTTCCCTGTAGTCCCCCTTATGCCCGGTGCTCTCACCTGGGTCTCTGAGCTCCCGACAAACCACTCTGTCCACCAGCAAGGGCTGCCGGATCACCTTGGTGCGCTCAGCCTTCTTGAAGGGCTTGGTGATGAGGAAGAGGTCGGTGAAGAGGAAGCAGTAGACATCCATCTGAGGGTGAGAGTAGGGCCATGGGCACCAGTCAGTGCAGTGAGTGAGGGTGAGTAGGCAGGGGCTGGAGCCAAGACCTCCCTGTCCCCTGCAGTCCTCACCTTGCTGTCTTTACCTTCCCGCATCCTCAGGCTGCCCTCGAGGAGGAGCTGCCGGGTGTCCTCTGGGGAGGTGCCAGGGATGGGAGCCGTCAGGTCCAGCCGCAGGAACTCCTTAAGCAGCTGCCAGAAGCCCCCAGTGTCAGCATGGGGTGCACGGGGTAACATGACATAGGTGCCATGGCATGACATATCATGGGGTAGCTTGGCATGAAGTGACGTAGCACAGCAGGATGGCAGAGCAGTGTGGCAGAGGGTAGCATGGAATGGCATGGCATGGCATGTCCAGCCTACCTTGTCCACCTCGTCTGTGCTGCCCTCTACCACCTCGTAGGCATCAATCCGGCTGAGGATGGCGTCCAGGCGCTGCCGCTCCTGCCGCTGGCGCATCCGCGAGTTGACGTCGTTGATGAAGCGCTCCACAGAGCTGATCTGTGCCAGGAGTGGCAGTGGGTATGAGGGGCCAGGGGCCACCGACCCTGCTGTCCCCCAGCCCTTATCCCTTACCATGGCAGTGATGGCATCACGGGCGCGTGGGTCATCCGTCTTTTTCAGGATAGACTTGAGGAGCAGCGGGTACTTGGTGAGGCGCTGGTGAGGTTTCACCAGCATGTCACTCAGCTTCAGGCGGCTGCACTGCTCCTGCTTCTCGGCCCACTGTGGCACACAGGCATTAGCACCGGCACTGCCCCGGCACCAGCCCCGTCCCTGCCCTCCCCTTACCGTCACATAGGTGCGGAAGAGCTCGCTGTCCCGCAGCAGGGCTCGCATGTACTCCATGCAGCCCTCCTCCTCCATGCAATACCGCACATAGGGCTTGAAGAGGGACCCGAACTGGGGGACACAGTGGGGTCACCATGCAGCACACAGCGTGGCATGACTCCCCACCGTGGCATGGCATCCCCACTCACCATCTTGAAGCCATCAAAGAAGTCAATGGGGTCAAGCAGTGCCCCAGTCCGTCGTGCCTTGGCCAGCACTGAGGCCATGACACTGCGCCACAGCTTGCAGTGCAGCCGGATGATCTCCCCAATGTTGCTGAAGAGCCGCTCAGCATCCACCTGTGGGGTTGAGGTGGGTGGTTCTGGGGTGCAGCACCTCCACCCTGCAGCATGGCCAGGCTGAGGACCCATCACTGCACACCCTGTCTCCTGCAGGTCCCTCCACTCACCTCACAGAGCAGCCCTGACTCCTGCAGGTTCACCAGGCAGGAGAGGAAAAGCTGTGGGGAGAGAATGTGGAGCCGGTGAGCTACAGCCACAGCCCCCAGCCCCAGCACGGTGCAGCAGCTGCCAGCACTCACATCAGTGATGACTTTGAGGTTCCGGATGTAGGTGGCCTCTGTGTGCAGCAGCTCCCAGATGGCTTCCTGCTGGTGGCACTGCCGGCGTGACAGAACCTGCCAGGCTGAGTGTCAGCGCTGTGCCAGGGCTTGGGCAGAGCCCCCGAGGCTCCCTCCCCAGGCCGTGTTCCTACCTCTGTGCCCTGAATGATCTGCTGCCAGCTGTCTTCCAGTGTCAGCCCAGCCTCGTCCCCATCCTCCTCCCAGGAGTCACGGTCAAAGCAGAGCTGGGGCGGCAGCTTGGGCAGCCCGAAGGTGCTGTAAGCGTGCAGCCTGTTCACCAGCTGCTCCAGTTTCTCGGTCTCCTGGCCAAAAGCGGGGGAACAGAGCGGCTGGGTAGGGGCCAGTGGGCATGTGCCACAAGCACCCCACCCTGCCGGTGGAACTAGGGTCTTGAACCCCAGGGGGACCCGTCCCAACTCCCCTGCATAGCCACAGGCAGTTCCCACAGCCCCTCCCCATGCCTGCATCCCACATACCCGCCCGAAGGAGCCCGTGCTAGTCCCGGAGCCGAAGAAGCCACTGAAGCGGCTGGCAGCGCGGTTCTTCCAGGTGTCAGTGCCATTGGTGGGCAGAGAGCTGCTGCCGTGCAGAGCTGGCTCGGGGCTGGGGATGCTGGTGTCCCCCAGGAACTCTGTTATGTTCTTCCTTCGCCGTCCCGGAGCCTGCAGCGGGGACAGCCAGCGTCCCCAGGGTCAGTGCCCAGCACTGTGGCCATGGCACTGGGATGGGGACAGCAGCCTGGCTGACCTCGAGCACCGTGGGACAGACAGACACCCAGATGGCAGCCCCGGGCAGTGGGGTTCCCTGGCCATGCTCCCCTGCCCGCACTGACCTGCCTACCTGCATCCCGGGGGTGCAGGGCCCCGGGGGTGCAGGACCCCGGGTGCTGCCTGGCCAAGCCCGGCCGGCCATGGACAAGCGGCCCAGCAGCGCGGGGGCTCAGGGCATCCCGAGGGTCG